CATCTTTTTGCCAGGTACCTTTTCTGTCTACTTCGTAAGTAAAACTCAACAAACGAAGTATTCTTTTCATACGCTGAACATCTTTGTCTGTGTGGGCCGCAGTTTGTAGAATACATGCAAGTTATGCCGAAATTTTAAGTTATTGATGTTAGCTTATGAATCCCATAACACACCTATGAAAATGCACATAAGACTAGACCTAGAAGTGAAATATACATCCAGGCATACTCTGAATGACAACGAACGTTTTCAAACAACAAAAAACTAAACGTGTTTTTTTTTTGTGTGTTTGTTTTTTTTTGCATGAAAGTGTACACGTTTTATTAATGATGTGCCACCATAAAATAAGCCCACTCTGCTGCTTGAAAGAAAATTTTGAACCGGCCGCATACTTCTTAGACAGAAGTGTACTTCTGAAAAAATAAAAATATTTCTGTTTTAGCCATTTTGGTGAGAGAAACTCCATCTATCGCCTAAACGGTGAGAGATAGGGCCAAACGGACGAAATTTTAATCCACAGGGCTCTATTTTCACAAGGTTTCCCCTAGGAAACCATCAAATAATTTCTAAGCTTAATATATTGTTTTGGGCCACTTTTGTCAGAAAAACTCCCTCTAGCGCCTAAACGGTGAGAGAGAGCGCCAAACGGACAAAATTTTAGTCCAAAAGGCTCTACTTTCACGAGTTACCCCTTAGGAGACAACAATAAAAAAAACATAAGCTTACGCTAACGTGGAAGCAGATGATATAGCATTCGATTAATTTTATAATTTTGCTGATTTAGTACGTAATTTTGCTGCTCCAGCAAATAATTTGCTGACACAGCAATTAATTTGCTGACACAGCAGATAATTTGTCACTAGGTAGTGCAACAGGTGGGCGGAGACGAACCACTTTTTTGGGACCACCTGTTCCCCCCTCCTTTCTCTCTTATTTTATCCAGAAAATAATTTTGCTCATTCAGACAATAATTTTGCTAACACAGCAAATAACTTCTTGACAATAGGTAGTGCAAGAGGTGGGCGGAGACGAACGACTTTTTTGGGACCACCTATCTACCCCTCCTTCCTCTCTCTTTCTATTCTTTATATAGACACTTGAATAAAAGCTTAATATGAGGTTAAGCACGTGTGTGGGATTCGTGTGGGATGATCCCAAGCTCCTTCCAAAAGTAAGTGGGAGCTGCTTTGTTGACTGGGTTGCTAGTGCAACAGGTGGACGGAGACGAACCACTTTTTTGGAACCATCTATACCCCCCCTCCTTTCTTTTTTCTTATATCCAGCAAATAATTATGCTGTTCCTGCAAATAATTTCTCTGATCCAGCAAATAATTTTTCTGACACAGCAAATAATTTGTTGACACTAGGTAGTGCAACAGGTGGGCGGGGACGAACCACTTTTTTTGGACCACCTATCCCCCCCTCGTTCCTTCCATTTTCTATTCTTTATATAGACACTTTAAGAAAGGCTTAATATGAGGTGAAAAATGTTTAATGTTTGCTGATCCAGCAAATCATTTTGCTGAAACAGCAAATAATTTGTTGACACTAGATTGTGCATCAGGTGGGCGGAGACAAACCACTTTTTCGGGACCACCTATCCCCCCCTCCCTTCCTTCCTCTCTTTTTCTATCCAGCAAATAATTTTGGTGATCCAGCAAATACTTTTGCTGATTTAGCAAATAGTTTTGCTGACACAGCAAATCATATGTTGGCACTAGGTAGAGCAACAGGTAGGCGGAGACGAACCACTTTTATTGGACCACTTATCCCCCCCTCCTTCCTTTTTTTTCTATTCTCATATAAGGTTAGAAATGTTTAATATTTGCTTAATGTCAGTTTAAGTAGGTGTTGTACAAGCAGTGATACTAGAAGTATCATCTGCTAAAAAAAAATTCCACTTCTTAGGCCAGCCCCTATTTCTTTGTTACCCCCTCAGACCCACTCAGGGGTGGTTGCCAGGATTTGCACCAACCGTTTCGTTGTCCAGAAGTGACAACAATAATACCCTGAAAATTTCAGACCTCTAGCTCACGTCCTTCTTGGGGAACGGACAGACGGACAGACAGACAGACACAGAGGCGATGGCATAAGCCCGTTTATACAGCTTTTAAGCAAAAGAGCGGGCTAAAAAGACAGATCGAGTTCGAAGATGAGCATTCTAGCCCAAAAATTGGCTTTTTAAAAAATCAAAAACTACAGGTCGCAAAATGTATCTGTATCAAATATTTTTTTATTGGTGCCTATGGGGTAACCCGTCTAAATAAAGGCCTACTGGCGAAAATTTCGTCCCTTTGGCTCTATCTTGTACCGTTTAGGTGCTAGGGGGCATTTCTTGACAAAAATGAGCCGAAAATGGTCAAATGGTCGATTAAATCATTAAAAAGACTTCATTTCGAAAAATTGTATATTCACTCCTATTACCCCGTCTCGGGTGTCAGCGCCGCAGGCCTAGGTAGATGTATGCCAGGCACGTCGCAGCGTAACAGTGTTTCGTGAGATATCGCGAAGCCTGTTACGCGAGACGTGGTCTGGCGTACATAAAGCTAGTTATCACATTGATTTTCTGACAGAGAAACTCTTTGCTCTCATGTTAATTGTTTCAAGTTAAAAAAGATAAAAATAAAATGAGAAAAGCAAATACAAAACTAATAAAACATTAAACTCCATACAAATGTTACGTACTTTCAAGTTTAGAAATAAAAAAGACTTCATTGAATCATTATGTGTCCAAAACCATTTTCTTTGAATCATACTTACTCGTGAACTTGGATCGTGTTGACCACACTTTAAAAAATGAATCGTTTAAGACTTGCAAAGAAATTTTCTCATTGAGAATGTGATTCTACAATAGAAAACATTTTTTTCTTGATGTGAAACTAAAACTACATCTCAAATTAAACTGAGTTAGTGTTTAGACAACACACTTCAACCAAAACTTGATCGTGACAATCTGCGATTCCATCAGGTAGTTTATGAAACATAGAGAATGCTGATGAACATGATTTTATTTAAAAAATATTTATAAAATGAAAGTTAAATAGGAAGAGGGGGGGAGCTACTTCCTCTTTCTCATCTGCTTAGTTATAGTTGGTTCAATCTGAAACAAAGTACAACCAAATTAGAACCTTCTTCCCGCCTGTAGTATATTTGAAAAATTTTCACATTATAAAATGTACTTACAACTATGGTTGTACGGCCTGAGGCAGGCGCCTGCTGGCGCCAACCCTCCAGCTGCCCAGGCTGTGGGGTGGGGCGCCGTGGCCTGCCGGTGGTAGCTGCTCCTGCTCTACCTCGTGCTGACGCACCGCTGGTCGGCCGAGCCCCGCACCTCGACGTAGCTCCTCCAGTCTCTGGCGCAAGTCCACAGGTGGTGTGGACGGCTCCGGCTGCGGTTGGTCCTAAGTTGGGGCGGGCGCGAGGACAAGGGCCTGGGCGGGGGTGGGAGCGAGGTCGAGTGCTTCCTCCTGCAACAAATCGCATAAGGTTAGAAACTAATAAACCATAAGCTAAGGGAATTCAAAAGCTAACGTGCTAAAACTTACAACAGCTGGCTCCCACTCGTCGTCCTCGTCGAACCTCCGATCTGCCCACGGCACTCGTCGAACCTCCGCTCTGCCCACGGCACTATCAGGTTAAGGGGCTCGCTTGGTGGGGCAGCCGATCTTTCATTCATGATAAACTACTGTAACAAAACGCATCAATATAAAAACCATTCACACAAGTATAACGACACAACGACATCACATGAACTCACGTCAGCAATAGCTTCGTCATTCCCCGCAGGGGAGGGTGGCGCGGTCAACAAGAGATGAGCGAACATGTTCGCATTCGAACGAATTCGAACGAACATCGAGCTGTTCGTGTCCGCTCGAACACGAACATTAGGTGTTTGGATTCGAAATGTTCGAGTACTACAGTGGAAAAACTAATGTTACCGAGGTAACGTTTCTTGACGTGACCAAGCCAGGTAACGTTTGGTGATGCAACCAGTTTATGATAGCCCTATCCTTTTGCATGGGGTAGGTTGCATCAGGAAACGTTACCGGGCTTGGTCACATGATGGAACGTTACCTTGGTAACATTAGTTTTTCCAGTGTACTCGAACAGAAGTTCGTAGGCGAACAAATTTGAAGTGTGTTTCAGGAGGACGTGTCATATTTGGGTATAGTTAAGGGGGCAATGGCAGGTTAACATATAACTACAATTTGAAACGTTAACGGAACTGTTGTTATCCACCACGGAGAGCTTTTGAGGTGTTATTAGCAAAAAACAAATTTCTACAATTGTTCGTGTTCTGATCGAATTTTAACATTAAACTGTTCAGTTGGGTTCGTTCGAAGAAAAAATGGTTGTTCGTGTTCGTTCGAAGATTTTTAGACCAAATTTGTTCGAGTTCGTTCAAATTCGAACCGGGCTGTTCGCTCAACTCTAGTCGCACAGTGAGTGGCAAATCTCGCGCATAGTTACAAATTCGCGCAGCTGCAAACTTTGCGCAGTTACAAACCACCCGCAGCTACAAACGACTTAATTTACCTTGCGCGGCTTCAAACCTCGCGCAGTATCCATTGTCCCTTTGAAAAAAAAAAAAAAAGGTCCACCCTGCTTAACAGCATCTTTTGTGGCAATAAATCACCATGCCAAGTAGTCAACTTACGGTCAGGACTGGGAGTTAAAAAGCTAGCAGGCGCTGTTATCATGTTTCTTTCTTGCAGGAGGGTAATAAATACTACACCCTGGTGGATGCTGTGTGGCACCAGTTCGTCCTCCAGGACTGTGTCGACGGAGAAGTTAACCCCAATAGTATCTGCACAAACCTGGCATACTCTAACTTTGCTCGCGGAGCTGAAATTGACGCCGTTGCCACGAATCTGTCTGAGTGCCTGGTGAGAATCCGCGCTGACGAAGACCAGGCAACGCAAGGTCTACAGTGTTTCAGCTCAGAAGCCCACGACCCTGCCGTTGAGGCCCGCGCGAAAGAGTACCTCCAATATTGAAGTCGTGTTGCAAGGCACCCTGCCCTCAATGATGTAAAATGATGTAAGAACTTTTGGGTGGACATCTGCACTAAGTTTTCTTCACTACAGCGTTTATCGCTTCTTTAAAAAGCAAATGCCAGAGACGTGGCACACAACGATTGTGTCAGAAATTTTTATCAGTAATAAAGTCTCATTGAGTCAGATTGTATTTCAAAAATATTACAAAATCAAACGTTGCAGTACGTAGAAAACTCAAGACATGGGAAATGTGCGGTCAAGTAAGTACCCGGAACTTCTGTAGTCAACCGTACTAGAATACGGACAGATTATAGAATTCCGTAGTGAATCTGTTCAGACCCACGGACAACTCACATATGGTCTGCACACGGTAAGATGCCATTGTTTCAACTCTTTAACCTACAAAAAGATTCAATCTTTAGAACAAACAGCCACAGAATTTGATAAAGCCCTCACCTAGAAAAAAAAAAAAGGTTCCTGAATTAACGCAAACAAGCCTTTACTCAAGTACAAAAGGGTTTCGAACTTTCAGGCCAGAATGTGCATGAGTTAAGATCATATTGCAACTTGTCCGTGCACTTCACACTGCACAGTTTTGTTTCTGTTTTCGAGGCACGTTATCTGAAGATAAGAGGCAAATTATCCTAAGATCAAGAAGCTCTTGATATTGTTGTTCTACTTTCAAGATCATGTTCTTAAAGAGGCAGACCTGTGAATTGAAGGGTTCGGAAAAATAGTCACTGCATAAAAAATACACGCAGTATCAATTAAGGGGGCAGACCTGTAAAATACAAGGGTTTAAGAGATATTTTATTTTAAAATATTACGAATTGCAGCGTTATAAACGAAAGACCCTTTTCATAAGAATGAATT